AGCAAATTTAATAGGATTTAATAATTAAAATGTGGTAATTTTAAAATTAACTATCCTTTAGAAATCTTAAACCCTGCAAAAGTGTTTCATATGGGGTTTCCAAAACGGTGGGTGGTTTGTGCATTGGTTTTATGTTGAATAGATTTTAACGTATAAAATTTAATGGTTTTCTATAAAATAACTTTTCAAGACTTAAGGAGTGGTAATTTATAAAATAAATTACATTTATTTGCTTTAAGAAATAATTTAAATTAATAGTAAGAGTACCAGCGCTAAATTTAGAGGAGAAGGGACAATGTTTAACGCGTAACATGCAAAATATTTAAGGAAAATGCCATCTAAAAGTGAATAAAAAATATTTTGTGAAGTAATATAACCTTGTAAAATTGTTTTTACACTTTTGCAATTTCTCGAAAACCTGACGTGATCATAAATTTGAATATTAGAGCTTCACAGAAGATAGCTTCACGGAGGTTAGGATTTCGTATGTTTTTTTTAAACATCCCTTTGTATATTTAAAATAAGTTATTGTATCTTTTGACACCTTAATATTTAAAAAAAATACAATTGTACATACATAAAATATTTATAAAAAAAACTACTTACTGAGATAATACACTTCACATTGAATAGCTTTTACTACCTCACATATTTGAAAACATATAGGTTAACCTAGAAAGAGTAACAGTCACGGAGGATAGGTTTTAGACTTTTAAAACATTGTAAAAAATAATTAATTGCGGTTAAAAATCTGGAACCTGAGCTGTAATATCTACTTAATTATGAAAGATCAAAACACAATTAAAGTGTAGGTCAAACTCATTTAGTTTTATTAAATATCACGGGGTAACACCATCGGGGGTACATTTCTTATATGATAGAATATCTTTCAAAATAAGCTCATTATACTATCCTTTATAAAGTTATAATAAAGGCACCTAGTTATATTCCACACATTCGTTGATTGATTGATGCATTTTTTTGCTCCTACTGGTTAGACAAAAACACCCTGTTTTAATGGAAAATTGCACCTTTTTCATCTTTTCTTAGGTTTTACTGAATGGAATTGACTTTTTTATTTTGTTGGCAATAAGTTGATGGATGACAAGGTTTTGGTCGATTATGTCCAGGATTGATGTAGCAAGTCAGTAAAGTTGATTTTTTATAGATAATTTTGCGATATTATTTCTTATCAATATCAAAACTTAGGTTAAGTAAATAAAAAAAATTACTTGTCCAGGTATTCTAAATGTTATTGCAAACAACAAAAAACTACCGGCAGACGTCAAAATGATATGTTGAAATAAATAGTGGGAAAAAGTACAATTTTCTATATTAAAAATGATTTTCAATTACCGAATAATGGTACCTTTTGGGAACTGGATTTCTTAACGAATCCTTACTTTTATATTAAATGTTTCAGTACTTTTGCAACATAATGATATACAAGAAATATTGCTTACTTAAGAAAATGCAGTAAATATTGTTTTGTTTTTATTTTTAACAAAATAAATACGCCTAAACTTTTATGAAATATGGCGGGATTTAAAAGAAAATTGCACTTTGTTTACTCGCATAAAGTTCTGTATACATACCTCCAGCAAAATTAAAATTAAGTTTAGTAAATGAAATTTTTAATTGAATTTTAAGACTTTATCCATAACTTACTTAATTAAATTTTTGATCACATTAGTATTAGTTTTTTTACAAGAATTTCACTCGGAAAATTAAGACTTAACGTTTAGACACAACGCCGATTTTTTGTGCTGTTCTTTTTTCTTTGGGGAAATTTAGTAGAAACATTGTAAAGTAAAAGCCATTATTCTATTGACTTTTTACAAAAGGAAATCGTCTTACTTTTTATTTGAGTTGTACCTATGCAGTAATGTTAATTTTTGCCTTTCTTTGTGTTTTAAACACAAGTAAATTTAACGCTTAATCATAAAGTTTTCTTATAATTGATCTAATTTTTATTTCTACCAGACTGATGATGATAATAATGATCCAGGATCGGTTAGTTTTGGCCCATTAATGCTCATTCAGTTAACCTAAGTAAATACATTTTAGACTGATCAGTCGCACCAGTTGACTAAACTATAATATTTAATTAGTTTGATAAATTATGTTACTCGCTGTCTTGCCACAACGTTCATAGATTTAAAAACAATGATTTATTATCCATGCTATTCAGTTAATCGTATTTAAACTTTGTTTGTTCATGGGCCCTTAAGTTTGTTGACTAAACTATTTTCGATAAAACATAGGTATATAACATTTTTAATCAAACACCAGACTAAACAAAAAAAATTATTAAAACAGTAACATTTATTCGTAAGTAATATCATAAGGGCATCTTCCGAAAAAAATCGAAAAAACACGTTGCTAAGTAATATTTTAAGTTAAAATATTGTTAAAATTTTTAACAAGAAGCATGAGCGCTGGTGGCAACAAAAATCCGAGTCGAAGAGGAGGATTTTTGCACCTGCACGAATGCATTTTGTTAAAAAATATTACTTAGCATTGTGTTTTTTCGATTTTTTTCACAGGAAAAATTAGATGCCCAAATGGTATTTGACATGAGTAACAGTTAACAATTAAAATATAATTTGCAATTTGTGGTGACAATAGCTGTCAAGTTTTGCCGCGGGTAAACTCGAAAAAACTGCGGACAGGTGCTGTCACACAGTTTTTCCACCTAGAAACCATTTGTAATTCAAAATTGCGCGTTTGTGATTGGTGGAAATTAAGACGGGGGAAATAGTCAACTAAAAATTTACAAATATTATTCTCCGAGTTTGGCCACATTAATAGTTCAAATCAGGCGAGTTTGGTGGCCAAACTTCTTTGGGCTCAGTCTTGTTGAAATAAAACACGGTCTTGATCAAAATTTTTTAAGGACTAGGCCTCCAAATCATATCATTTGTTGGTGTGCCAGATCCATATATTTTTTTACTGTGTATTAAGATAATAATGAAATTGTAAATGGTGAAATCGAAAGTGAAGTGAGTAAGTAAGACGCTCAACCAGATTGAAAAAAGTTCCTGCGAAGTATAACGACTTCGAACTTTGTAGACTCAATATAAATCTTGATGTTGACTCCTAATAATTTAATGTAGTTAAAGTTATGTTAATAAATGTGTAATCACATATAGTTGGATGAATCTCACGAAATGTCCCCTGATAGTGTTACTTCGTGATATTTAATAAAACTAAATGAGTTTGACCTACACTTGTGTTTTGATCTTTTTACAAATTAATTATTTTTTACAATGTTTTAAAAGTCTAAATCCTATCCTCCGTGACTGTTACTCTTTCTATTTTAACCAATATGTTTTCAAATATCTGGGATAGTAAAACCATACTAAAAATATCAGTTCATTAAGTAAATTAAACACAACCAAACGCCGACAACTGCATTTTCAACAACAAAATATACGAATTCATGGCAACAAAATATTATATATAAAACATAATATATTGGTATTTTACCCTTGAGTGGATACTTTCCTAATCAACGCTTTTAATAATGCTAAAGGCTGTTTAAATTTAGACGACTTATTTGTTTGACGATTTTTACTGATTTTTTTTTCACGTTAATCACTACTAAGGTACAGTTTATATTTACAGAGACTGTATGCAAATTATTTCTTCATTCAGATTAACACTGTTTATTGGAAAACCGGTAAAAACTCAATAATAATAATAATAATCTTTATTTTCCTTTGATTAATTACATTAATATAGGAATCGTCGGTTGTAAAAATATATAAATTAGATGTATGTATACATATAAACATACACAAAAATATCAACGAACTAACTTTAGATTAACAAACAGAAAATTAACTTAACCAAAACTCACTTAAATTGTAAAACTCACGTTTTATTAGATATGCTCTTGATTTAAATGAGTTAATATTGTTTAAGTTTCTTATTTCCTGAGGAAAATGGTTGAATGCACGGAGACCTAAAGAATTGGGTGCATTTATACTTATATTTAATCTAGAAAATGAAATTTTAAAGTCGTTACATTTTCTGGTTTTATAATTATGTACAATGTTATTTTTTAGAAATTTATTTTTGTTAGTAAGTATAAATTTGCCCAATTCGTATAATAAAATTCCCGTTAAGGTTAATATCTTTCTTTCCCTGAAGAGAGTTCTACAACTTGTAGAAGGCGGTATACCCAGTAGGCAACGTAGAACTCTTTTTTGTGCTATAAAAACACATTTTGCAGATGTAGATGGTCCCCAAAAGATTATACCATAGTGTAGTCTAGATGCAATATATGCATTATATACTTTTGTCATATTTTGTTGGGATATGGCACTTCGCAAATTTCTTAATAGGGAGCAAAGGCTATTTAATTTTCTGATCAAATTTATACAATGAATATTTAGGTAATTATCTAATGTTAGACCCAGAAATTTAGTATCAAAAGATTCTACAATAGACTGATTATCAATCTTTAAATCCAATATACCTATTGAATTTAAGTAACATTTATCAGAAATAATAAAAGAAGAATCGTCAACAAATAAAGTACCTGTGCATTCTTCATTTTTAAAAATCTTAAATATGTCATTAATATATGTTATAAATAAAAAAGGTCCTAATACTGACCCTTGAGGTACCCCTATATTTATGGTTGCCAGATCTGAAACATAACTATTTTCTGAATAACTGGAGTGTTGCTTTACTGCAACAAACTGCCTTCTATTTTTAAAAAAACAGGCTAGCCCTAACCCAGGATTTCACAAATCGAGAGAATGAGAAATGAATAAATATTTCTAAAAATTGGTCGTCCTAACATTAAGTTGTTAGGGCTTGTATGCAAAAGCAAAGTTGGTTTTGACAGTATACCTACTTATTTTTATATTCTTAAACTTACACTTTACATTCCTTGTATATATACCGATCACTCAATGCCTACTCTGAGCCACAACTCTCTAATTTGGTCGTCAAATCACGGTTTCCTCGGCATCGAGCGCAAATCTTTGCTATACGACAGTGGAATAGTGCGATTTTTCGCCTCCGATGTTTTCGGTGGTGGTGCCGGCATACTGCGACAGAGAAATCCATTGGACGACAACTTTCGGCCGAAAAACCTCGCCGAACGTGGAACGGAACTGACGGGACATCGTGCAGTACAAAATGAAGTTTATGGCCGAGTTGGTCAGAGCTAGGATGTCCATCACATCGCCTGTAAATAAAAAAAAAGTTTGATTGAAACTGTAGGGTAAACATGGGTACTATTTTAGCACTTCTACAGAAGACAGTTATATGGGTATATTGAGTGATAATGATTAAGTATTTCTTATTTTTGGTTGTTTCACTATATATTATTCTAGGATGGGGTTTTTGGGAAGCCACCAGGTCTAGTAATAACGTAACATAATGACCAATTTTTCTTTTAGAATTTTTTTACGTACCAAAATACATTTGAGTTTATGGGCCTATGCAAGCGCAGTGTTTTTGCTCTATAGAGCCCATAGATACTAGATTCCCAGAAGTCTACGAAAGATGCCGATTCTATCAATAATCGATTATTTTGCAAGAATAATCGATGCTTTTTAATCGATTTTAAAGCTTGTGATTTTCTAATGAATCGATTATTTTACTTAAATAATAACTCGCTTAACTGTGAACCGAAAATTCGCTTGCAACTTCCCTTATGCTCTTCCTACTATTTGAATCGAAAGCATTGTTCCAACTTAAAATAATAAATAATGACAGTAACAAAAATTGACAGCAGTGTCACAATGAAGTGGTTTCCAGTCGACAAATAGTTTACATATTATGTCAACAATGCATCCTTAGTATACTAGCAATTTAAAGAATTCCCTATGGCTATGCATTGGGATTGGCAATCGTTTTTTATTCTTATCTCGTTGTATGTGTTTCGCATAACTTTGGCACTTTCCCTTTTTCTTTGTGGTGCGAGTTCTGGGACAGGGTGTATATTGAATCGAACCAAATAATCGATTAAAAAAAGGCTTTATCACTTTGTTTGTAGGTAGATAAAAATAGTAAAATCGATTTATGTAACCAAAACATTTCCGTACTTTTCTCCAATACTTAAAATTAACCACTATGTGAGAATAAACCACCATTGTATTTTAATATTGAAACGACGTATTTAATTTCATTTCAAGCAAAAATACAAAACAAATTTGTAAAGTTGACAATGACTGTATTGTGTTTTGATCTTTCGTAATTAAGTAGATATTACAGCTTTTTAACCGCAATTAATTATTTTTTACAACGTTTTAAAAGTCTAAAACCTATCCTCCGTGACTGTTACTCTTTCTATATGTTTTCAAATATATGAGGTAGGTATATCAGTTCACTAAGTAAATTAAACACATCCAAAGCAATCGAATCAAATATAAAATATTATTAAAAATTAAAAGAAATAATTTTATTACCATTTATGTAGGTGTTACAAAAATTGATTCTATCCTCCGTGAATCTGTTTTTGCTTTGAATTTTATGCAACGGATGACGCTTTAATCATTTTAAATAAGCAATAACCTCTGTTTACGACATTATAGATGCATGTGATTCCTGAAGGTCAGTTAGAATTTATATGCAGATGAGAGTGTTGCTGTTTTATAAGTCAAAAGTTTAAGTTCATTAATTTGCTATTTAAAAACCTATCCACCGTGAAGTGTAATATCTAAGTAAGTAGATTAAAAAAAATGTATGTACAATTGTATTTAAAAAAATATTAATGTGTCAAAAGGTACAATAGAATGTTAAAAAAACATACGAAATCCTAACCTCCGTGAAGCTATCTTCCGTGACGCTCTAATATTGAAAATGTATAATCTCTTAAAATTGTTGCATTAGTGCAGAACCACTTAAGTAATGTTATTACTAGACCTGGTGGCTTCCCAAAAACCCCATTCTAGACTAACAATGAAACAACCAAAAATAAAAAATAATCATTTTCACTTGGGGGACATCTCAATATACGTTAATAAGAAACACCCTGAAATAGCTTTTGACAGATGAAAATTAATATTAATAATAAAAATTTTAAATTCGCTTTTAAAAGTAGGGTAAATCTATTTATTTTAATCAGTTTCTGTTAAACCGGTTCCTAAATAATCAAAGAATATCATTTATAATTAAATTATTCATGAAATAGCTTGCTCGTGCACTCTCTTTCATAAAATAGCACTTTATCTAAAAACAATCTTAAAATTGTTTTAGTGTTTACTGGTGCTATAATATAAAAATAGGTAACGTAGGAGGGAAAGAAACACCGAGACAAGACAAACAAAAAATTAATCCAAGATATACAGCATTTCTATAAACATTAAGCCTATCTTGTGTTCTGAAAAGCCCACCATTAAAAAATTCGATTTGCCACTAAGCCTTGTAAACGTTGAGTGTTTTATATCCCCCTGCCCAAGATCTTGGTAAAAATTTACCCATGCCTTTTAGTTTGATCAAAAATTCTGATATTTATTTTTATCATTATCTTTAAATACGTAGTTCATAATTTTAAGAAAGTTATCTAGCTTAAATTGACATTTTTAAGACAATTTAATTTCTTTTCAAGCAAAAATACAAAACAAATTTGTAAAGTTAACAATGACAGTATTTATGGGCGAATCTCACGAAATGTCCCCGTGATATTTAATAAAACTAAATGAGTTTGACGTACTTTTATTGTGTTTTGATCTTTCATAATTAAGTATATATTACAGCTCAGGTTCCAGATTTTTAACTGCAATTAATTATTTTGTTACAATGTTTTAAAAGTCTAAAACCTATCCTCCGTGACTGTTACTCTTTCTAGGTTAACCTATATGTTTTCAAATATACTAAAAATATCAGTTAACTAATTAAACACATCCAAAGCAATCGGATCAAATATAAAATATTATCAAAAATTAAAAGAAATAATTTTTATAACCATTTATGTAGGTGTTACAAAAATTGATTCTATCCTCTGTGAATCTGTTTTTGCTTTAAATTTTATGCAACGGATGGCGCTTTAATCATTTTAAATAAGCAAAAACCTCTGTTTACGACATTATAGATGCATGTGATTCCTGAAGGTCAGTTTGAATTTATATGCGGATGAGAGTGTTGCTGTTTTATAATTCAAAAGTTTAAGTTCATTAATTTGCTATTTAAAAACCTATCCACCGGGAAGTGTAATATCTCAGTAAGTAGATTAAAAAAAATATATTTTATGTATGTACAATTGTATTTAAAAAAAATATTAAGTTGTCAAAAGATACAATAACTTAATTTAAATATACAAAGGGATGTTTAAAAAAACATAGGAAATCCTAACCTCCGTGAAACTCTAATATACAAAATGTATGATTTAAAATTAAAATTCTTGCATTAGTGCAGAACCACTTATGTTATGTTATTACTAGACCTGGTGGCTTTCCAAAAACCCCATTCTAGACTAACAGTGAAACAACCGAAAATAAAAAATAATCATTTTCACTTGGGGGACATCTCAATATATTCACCCATTTACATAAATAAAGAAAAAATAGTACAAGTTATCAGACACAATTTCATTCATAAATAGCGCGACTGACTACGGCTTATATACTGTCGAGGCAGGGGTGAGAAATACATTAGTCTCTCTCTTACTCGTCGCATATGAAAAATTACGGAAATTTTGAGACGGTTTACCCAGTGGCGGCTCGTGGGTGTACAGGAGGGTGAGGCTACATAAGGTTAATTTTGTCTAAATACGAATAAATTTCCACGTCACCCGGGAGGTATTATTCTGCGACGCGTTGACCTTTTTTAAAATGGAGCCGATAGCACTACTAAACCAAAAAATAAACTCTAAAAACAAAACAAACAAAATATCACATCAAAGACTAGTTTTAATCTTAAACTTAAAATATAGTGTTAAAAAAGTTAAAAATAAATAAATTAATCAAAAAATAAAAATAAAACTAAAAAGTCGACCCCTACCTAAGTATTAAAAAATATAAAATACTATACGTCTATCTTTTAAGATTGAAAATGTATCTATTATTTGGTCGTAAAATTGTGGGTCTGCAGTGAGATTTAAAAGTAATTCTAAATTTTCAAACCGCGTCTCTAATTGAAGAATTATGCAATCTATTATTTCAAAATATAAAATTTGCTTAATAAAAACTGCTAAATCTACCTTAGTGTGTTCCCTACAATAATTAAATAAGAAATTTTACTAATCGAGACAAAAACTATAAAAGATCAGCCAAAAGTTTTAAATAATTTAATCTGAATCAAAACAATAACGTACTCTACAAACGCTAAGAGAAGACTGGCAACCTTCTTTGTCTCCGCTGGCATCCCACCATAAACGGACCTCCAATCAGAACAAACCAAGCTAACTAAATTTCGCCTCATCTACGGTGTTTATTCGCGAACTTACGGCGATATTTTTGTTGGTGAGTCATTTTCGCTTTCAAGACGTAAATGGGAGCTTCCGAGGCTGTGAAAATTTCGCCTCTGTCCAAGCGACTCTCAACGATGCACGTTAACTTGACGCGCTTTGCGCCTGGATTTTTATTTACGCTTAATATTATTGATTGGTTTTTTACTTTTTATTGGATAGAACTGTTGTAAAAATACACTTGTAATAGGCAAAAATATAAATACAAAAAGTCGTTCGTTCCTTCATTTTAAGGGTGAGGCGCGGCCTCAGAGGCCTACCCTGACGAGCCGCCACTGGGTTTACCTTTACAATGTAAACTTAGATTGGCAGTTATTACTGGTTTACAAACTGAAATTGGGAATACAGTGAAGTGAGTTAAAGTTACGAAATACATAAGTAAGTGTTGTGGTAGTACTGATAATTATATTGCACCTAACAAATTTCTTTATAATTTGATGATTTCAAAATGGTATTATTTAATTGTGTGTACGAGGTGTGTTGTAAAATATCGGGAATTTTCGTTTTTTGAAACAAATATTTATTTATTCGTCTACATTGATGTTGTCGCCTTCAAAATAGTCCCCATTGGATATTATGCACATGTGCCAGCTCTTCTTCCAATACTCGAAACACTTCTAAAACTCGATCTTTGGGATAGCCTTTAGTTCTTTCAGCGATGCGCTTTTAATGTCATCTATGCTTGCAAAACGACGGCCCTTTAAGGTTCTCTTTATTTTTGGGAATAGGAAAAAGTCAGACAGAGGCATGTATGGCGAATATGGAGGCTGGGGAATCATTACAGTATTGTTTTTGGCCAAAAATTTTGTTCAAAATTTAACAATTTTAGAAAAAATTTTGCTGCTACGCGTTTCATACCCAAAACATTCGAAAAAATTTCATGGGATGAGCCAATCGATATACCAACATCATCAGCGACTTCTCTGATGGTTTATAACCATTTCTTCCACTTTTTCCATGTTTTTATCGGTTGTTAATGTGCTTGTGCGTTCGGGGCGTTCGTCATCTTCAACGTCTTCACGGCCATCTTGGAAACTCTTATACCACTTGTAAACTCTTGTTTTACTTATAGCAGACTCACTATAGGCCTTTGTTACCATTTCACAGAATTTATTTAATTTTTTAAGCAAAATTGGATACAAATTCTTTGATCCATTTCTTTTAACGAACGAAAAATCGCCGAGCTGATAAAACACGTCTAACCTTAGCGGCCGCCACAGATAAAGTAAACAATGAAAACAGCTAAAGTTTTTATCATACTTCGGGGGCATGTATACCAACATAATAAAGAAAATTTTATGACAACCGGAATTACAAGAATTTTGGTTAAACTATTGATTTATTCAATTAGTTAACAGATTACAGTTGGTTGTAAAATAAAATCTGGTTAATATTTGGTTAAAATTAACAAATATTTTTTTACCGATTTGGCCACAAATCGCAGTTATTTCTTGAGAATATCCCACGTAAAACAGGACGAATTACCTTTTCAATGTCGATTATGGATAGGGGGATAATCTTCAGCTAAAGACAGGCACGGATGGGGGATTGTCAGTAGGCGGTGTAAGTTTGAGTTTACCTTGGAATTTAGGATTCTCAGAACCTAAACCGCATCAATCTCCATAATCTTGGAGAGCCCGGTTACAATGGGGCGCTTTAAAACCGTGTCAAACAGCTTAAAATGCCATTCGGAAGACCTCAATCGTCGAAACATTTAAACCAGCACATAATTTAAACTACACCAACGGAATTTGATATTAAAATTTTAATCGTTAATAAAAGTGGCAATTTACGATGTATTTATAAAAAATAATCTTGGAAAAAATAACCTGTTTGGTCAAGGTAACTGCGGGTTATAAGGCGTACCTAAGCGAGAATTAAGATAAAATGAAAAATACTGAAGATGATTATTATCAACATTTTTTATTTTAGATAATAATTCATTTTACATTTAAGAAAAAAATTTAGAAAAATAACTTTTTTATTATTATATTTACGTTTACTTAAAAATAATAATATTTGAATTTTCAATAATAGTTTTATAAAAACATGCAAAAAAGTATAGTAATTGGACATTTTATATAGTAATTGGACATACAATTTTTATATAAACAAAACAATTTTACATCAAATAACATAAATTGTTAAATATTTTTTAAAGATAAATTGCTGTTTTAGTTAATTTTTTTTATTTCATTTTTGTAAATATCATATAATTCATATATTTCTTTCTCGGATTCCTCATCCCTTTTCTGGATTCTGAAGGTAACTACTAATTTCTTAATCTGACTTCTGAAATAGTTTGTTGCAAATATCATTAAGTGTGGTATCTCTAGTTTGTAAAACATTTATAATGTTTAGGCCAGAACAGGATGATTTATATATATACAATGTATATTTATTATTTTTTCGGTTGGTATGTTAAAAGTATTTCCCGAATTTATTAATTGTGTTGCCATTAGTTTTTTATGTTCTCCATCATGCACTGTATTTAAATCACTCTTATTCTGCAAGATGTCCTGTGACGAAGAAATAACTATATTACTTACTCTCTAAAAATGAATTAGTCAAAAATGTCATAGTGAAAAAGCAGCCACTAATAATTGTCGTCAACTGCAATTTGTATCCAGGACATTTAGCAGTCAATTCCTTTGAAATATTATTCGCTGAATACAAAAATGTCGTCAAAAGTTATAAAAGTAAAACAGTTTTTGAAATATAATCAATTTTACATATAATATGGAATTGACTATATCTCAAAAACTGCTGAACTTTTATATTTTTTAACGGTCTTTTCGAATTCAGGGGACAATTTTACATAAGAATTGGCTGGTAAATGTACGGGATATAAAAAGAGTATGATATTGGACGTATGTCCAATACTAGAAATTAACATTTTTTACCAATCAGTAATTGGACACTGGCCATTTTAATGTTTGTTTTCAGAATTAAAATTAAAACGGATTAAAGTGGCAATGTGTAAACCATGAGGAATATATTTATACCACACACTGATCTGTACACTTTTTAGAAATATTTTTTATTGTAATTTAAACACAGCCCTACAAATTTATAACAAAATAATATTATATATAATAAATAAAATAATACCTGTTTTTAGTTTTTACCGTGGAGACTTTCTTAATCAAAGCTTTTAATAATAGGTAATGATGTTTGAATTTAGATGACTTATTTGTTTTATGGTTTTTATTGAATTAAAATGTTTACAATTTTCACATAAATCAGTACTAAAATGTGTATTTATTGTATCTAATAGGTACAATTTATATTTACAGGGGCTGTATGCAATTTATTTCTTCATTCGGATTTTCACTGTTTATGGGAAAAACACTCATTTGTAACATACGCATGAAAATAATAATGAGTGTTAAACTAATTTATAGATAACCTTAATTATTTGTATTTAAATGTTTAAATGTCACAGTGAGACTTTTTGATGTATACATGTATACTCTATAGAGTATATACTTCGTGTATGCCAAGTTCGTGTTAACCGTTCAACAGAAAGAACAATTATTGTTGATTTCATAACAAAATTTGAGGCCGATTTGAATTTTACAAATTTTATTGACATAGGTATTTATTTTGTGAAGATAATAGGAACTTTTGCCTTATTTATTTTAAAATTACATTATAATAATAGACATAAGCTAATTATAGTAAAATAGTTGCATATCATGTAAATAATCAAATCGCAAGTTGAAACACATGCTCGACCTTTGTTTTTATTTTTTCTCAGGTAAACAGTTATTAAATAAATCATAACATTAAATAATTAATATAACTACCTATAGTAATAATAATTATACATGTATATCCCTTACGAGTTCAGTTCAGTTAAGTTGGATGTCTCTATGGTGTACAAGTGTTTAGTTTGAGATTATATGGTATTAAAAATAATTTAAAAAATTCGAAATTATTAAAACATGTTTTTAACTGATAAGTTGTTTGATTAATGCTTAACGACATAAAGATAACATTGTAAGTGCTTATAAACAGAATTATGTTAATGTAAAATCAGTGCATTGTTTTTATGGATAAAATGGCCTTTTTATTAAGTGGTTCGTTTCTGGTGGATGCTATAGGGATATTTGTAGCCCTTTTTGCTGTAATATACACATCCTTTAAGTGGAGCTATGGATACTGGAAGAGGAAGAATTTACAGTACATGGAACCTACGTTTCCTTTTGGAAATTTGGAGAGCGTTTTTAAGAAGGATAGATTATCTTTTGTAGATAGAGCAAAAAAGTACTACGAATTCGGAAAGAAGAATAATTTAAAACACTTTGGTATTTACTTCCTGAAAAACCCTGTATATTTTGTGAGGGATTTGGAGTACATTAAAAACATTTTGGCAACTGATTTTGATTATTGGGTCGATAGAGGTATATATTATTCCATAAGATGTGTTTTTTCTATTTAAATTATTGTAGGAAATTATTATAATGAAAAAGCCGACCCTCTTAGCGGACATTTGTTCAACTTGGGTGGAAATAGATGGAAAAATATTCGTAAAAAGTTGACACCAACTTTTACTTCGGGCAAAATGAAGCTAATGTTTAAAACCATTGCGGATTGTGGCGTTTTTTTGGAGCAAGCCATGGATGAAAAATTAAAAGACCATCAAGCCATTGATATAAAAGAAGTTTTGGGAAATTTTACGACAGATGTTATAGGTAAACATACTAAAATTGTGGTTGCTCAAATTACCACTTACGCGTTTTACAGGTTCTTGTGCGTTTGGTTTGGAGTGCAACTCGTTTAAGGAGGATTCGGAATTTAGACGATACGGAAAAAAAGTTTTTCAAAGCTCTTATTCAAATATAGCCAAAGTGAATTTTGCTAGTGCATTCCCAGGTCTCGCTAGAATGTTAAACGTAAAAATATCCCAACAAGACGTAAGCGACTTCTTTATAAACGTCGTGAGAGATACTGTAAAGTACAGGAGAGAAAACAACGTGACCCGCAAAGATTTCTTGCAACTCTTGATCGACCTCGAAAAAGAAGACCCGGACGGTGACGGCAATTCGTTGACCTTGAACGAAATGGCGGCGCAGGCTTTTGTTTTCTTCGTTGCAGGATTTGAAACTTCGGCCACCACAATGACCTTCGCTCTATTCGAGATGAGTTTGAACCAGGACGTGCAGGAGCGGGTCAGGCAGGAAGTTAAGGAAGTTTTGGCCAGGCACAATGGGGAGATCAACTACGATTCCATAATGGAGATGAGGTATATGGAGCAAGTCGTACGAGGTGAGTCATATAATTGTGTACACTCTATCAAGAAAATAACTTATATAACTGATTTTTAGAGACATTAAGGAAGTACCCGCCATTAGCAGCATTAACTAGACGGTGCATCAAGGACTACAAAGTACCTGATAGTGATTTGGTTATAGAAAAAGGTACTCTAGCTTTTATATCGATCGTTGGTATTCACTACGACGAAGACCACTTTCCAAATCCGGAAAAATTCGATCCTGACCGATTCAGCGATGAGAACAAACACGAAATTAAACCTTTTTCACATTTGGGTTTTGGTGGAGGAAGAAGAGAATGCATTGGTATAACATTTTACACTTTAATAATACATAAAGTACATTCAATAATTTTGCAGGCGAAAGATTTGGAGTTATGCAATCCAAGGTCGGACTTGCAACTCTACTGAGGAGATACAAATTTACTTTAAGTGATAAAACTCAAGTTCCTCTCAAGATGCATCCTCTACAGTTCATAACAACAGCTTTGGGGGATATTTGGCTGAACCATGAGAAAATTTAAACCAAACAAATAAAATAACTTCAGTATTTATTTTAAACCGAATTATAAATATTTAACCAGATAACATAAGCATAGCTAATGTTTATATATTTAAATAAAACTAATTATAAAATCAAATTTTTGGTTTCATTTATGAAGTACGATACATTTCCAATTAGTCATCAAATTAGATGTTCGAAATGTTCCCCTTGAACATTTTGATGCAAAAATAGTTTGTTTCTAATTTTAGTTTTCACATTTTCAAACGTTTCTTGTGTAATATTCGCAAATTCACGTCTAATCCGTTGTTTTATATTAATTGATTTCGGTTCGGTGATGTGGACATTCGATTTTAAATATCCCCAAAAAAAATCAAGTGGCGTTAAATCAGGAGACCGAGCTGGCCATTCGGTAGAACCACGTAACTAAAATATTGTGCGGGCATCTTGTTGGAATATTACTTCCTTGTCAAAATTTTCAGGATTAGCTTGAATAATTGGATGAGTTTGTGTTTAAAGCATGTTATAACATACTACTATAGTAGTACAAGATGCCTGTTAAACGAACAGAATTTAATTTAAAAAATGTGACAATTTACGATGTATAATAATCATGGATGCTATCAAATCATATTTATGTAAATGTATTTCCTTAAATAAGGCTCATACTTTTTACCCACAGAATTTGAGGCTATTTTAAATTTTGTAGAATTTGGATTCAGCTTTTCAAAAAAACTTAATTCATATTAATTATAATTATAGTAAAACAGTAGCATATCATGTAAACGATTAAATTAAATTACATCAACCGCGACTTGAAACGGATGATGGCTCAACACATGTTCGACCTTGGCTTTTATTTTTACTCATATTTGCCGGTAAACAGTTACAAATTATAAAATTAAATAATTGATATGGCTACTAATAATAATAACTGAAATATTACTTATCTATCCCTTAAGAGTTCAGTTTAGTTTAGTGCGTCAGTTCAGTTAAGTTGGAAGTCTTTATGGTGTACAAGTGTAAAGTTTTAGATTATATGGTACCTAGTTAAAATAATAAAATACTTTGTGAAGGTCACCAACATCAAAACATTTTAAAACGGAAACGCTGTTTGACTAATACTTAACTACTTTATGAGATAACATTGCAAGTGCGTATAAACAGAATTATATTAAAATAAAATCAGTGCATTGTTTTTAGGGGTAAAATGGCCTTTTTATTAAGTGGTTCGTTTCTGGTGGATGCTATAGGGATATTTGTAGCCCTATTTGCTGTAATATACACGTCCTTTAAGTGGAGCTATGGATACTGGAGGAGGAAGAATTTACAGTACATGGAACCTACTTTTCCTTTTGGAAATATGGAGAGCTTTTTTAAGAAGGATAGATTGCCGTTTGTAGATAGAACAAAAAAGTACTACGAGTTCGGAAAGAAGAATAATTTAAAACACTTTGGTATATACTTTTTGAAAAAGCCTGTATACTTTGTGAGGGATTTGGAGTACATTAAAAACATCTTGGCAACTGATTTTGATTATTGGGTTGATAGAGGTATATATTATACCATAAGATGTGTTTTTTCTATTGAAATAATTGTAGGACATTATTATAATGAAAAAGCCGACCCCCTAAGCGGGCATTTGTTTAACTTGGGTGGAAGTAGGTGGAAAAATATTCGTAAAAAATTGACACCAACTTTTACTTCGGGCAAAATGAAGCTAATGTTCAAAACCATTGCGGATTGCGGCGTTTTTTTGGAACAAGCCATGGATGAAAAACTAAAAGATCACCAAGCCATTGATATCAAAGATATTTTGGGGAATTTTACAACAGATGTTATAGGTAAACATACTATATAAAATTGTTGTTGTGCTAAATCATCACCAAATCGTTTCACAGGTTCTTGTGCGTTTGGTTTGGAGTGCAACTCGTTTAAGGAGGATTCGGAATTTAGACGATACGGAAAAAAAGTTTTTCAAAGCTCTTATTCAAAAATGGCCAAAATGAATTTTGCTGGTGCATTCCCAGGCCTCGCTAGAATGTTAAACGTAAAAATATCCCAACAAGACGTAAGCGACTTCTTTATAAACGTCGTGAGAGATACTGTTAAGTACAGGAAGGAAAACAACGTGACCCGCAAAGATTTTTTGCAACTTTTGATCGACCTCGAAAAAGAAGATACGGATGGTGACAGCAATTCGTTGACCTTGAACGAAATGGCGGCGCAGGCTTTTGTTTTCTTCATTGCAGGATTTGAAACTTCGGCCACCACAATGACCTTCGCTCTATTCGAGATGAGTTTGAACCAGGACGTGCAGGAGCGGGTCAGGCAGGAAGTTAGGGAAGTTTTGGCCAGGCACAATGGAGAGATCAACTACGATTCCATAATGGAGATGAGGTATATGGAGCAAGTCATACGAGGTAAGTTATATAAAATTGTACACTCTATTAAGAAAATAACTTATTTCACTGTATTTTAGAGACACTAAGGAAGTACCCGCCAGTATCAGCATTAACAAGGCAGTGCACAAAGGACTACAAAGTCCCTGATAGTGATTTGGTTATAGAAAAAGGCACTATAGCTTTTATACCGATCGTTGGTATTCACTACGACGAAGACCACTTCCCAAATCCGGAAAAATTCGATCCTGACCGATTCAGCGATGAGAACAAACACGAAATTAAACCGTTTTCACATTTGGGTTTTGGTGGAGGAAGAAGAGAATGCATTGGTATAACATTTTACACTTTAATAATACATAAAGTACATTCAATATTTTTGCAGGCGAAAGATTTGGAGTTATGCAATCCAAGGTCGGACTTGCCACTCTACTGAGGAGATACAAATTTACTTTAAGTGATAAAACTCAAGTTCCTCTCAAGATGCATCCTCTACAGTTCATAACAACAGCTTTGGGGGATATTTGGCTGAACTATGAGAAAATTTAAACCAAACAAATAAAATAACTTCAGTATTAATTTTAAACCGAATTATAAATATTTAACCAGATAACTTAAGCTAAGATAATGTTATAATGCATATAATTATAAAAGAGCTATCTAGAATAGTACCAAAAGGTCTTAAGTCGACTATTAACTATTTTTAATAAATGTTTTTGTAATTTATTTGTGAATTATGTAAGGCCTAAATTATTATCTGAATATAGTTTGGCTTTTTGGAGTCGGGAGAAATTGCATTTACAAAATATAAAAGAAATGGTTTATAACCTTTTATGCATATATGCGTATCGTACTGTGCTTATACAAATAGAAAACATTATTATTATATTTGGAGTGGAACAAGATAAAACTCATTTTTTTTTAATTTTGGAAAAATACATATAATATAAATAGGTGTATATACCTACAGGATTTAATTTTAGTAAATCTTATAAGTTATAAGTTATAACTGTGTTTTGATAAAATAGAGGAGTAATTAAATGGCTTTTCTTGTAAGCGGTTCGTTTCTGGTTGACGCTATAGGTGTAGTGTTAGCCTTATTGGTAGTTATATACACGTCGTTCGTATGGATACTGGAAGAGACAAAATTTTCCTTACATGGAGCCGACGATACCATTTGGAAATCTGGAAAATGCTTTTAATGCGAAAAAACTGCCGATCTTTGAAAGAGCTAAGAACTGGTATAATTTCGGGAAAGAAAGGAAATAGAAGCACTTTGGGATGTACTTTGTAAAATCCCCAGTTTACTTTGTGTTGGATTTGGGGTTAATTAAAAACATCTTAGCCACTGATTTCGACTATTGGGTTGACAGAGGTATGTTTAAAACAATAAGATACTAATTTTCTACTGAAACAATTTTAGGAAATTTTTGTAATGAAAAAGCAGAACCCCTTAGCGCTCATTTATTTAATTTGGGTGAAAGTAGATGGAAAAATCTTCGTAGAAAGTTGACACCAACTTTTACTTCAGGAAAAATGAAGCTTATGTTTAAAACCATTGCGGATTGCGGCGTTCTTTTGGATCAAGTCATGGACGAAAAACTTAAAGACAAGCAATCCATTGATATTAAAAACATGTTGGGAAATTTCACAACAGATGTTATAGGTAAATATATTAATTTTATTGTTGTACTTACTTAATCATCGCCCTAATTTCTTAGGTTCGTGTGCATTTGGTTTGGAGTGCAACTCGTTTGCGGAGGAATCAGAATTCAGGCGTTTCGGAAAAAAAATATTCAGTATCAATAGATTAAGAATGATCAAATTAAACCTAATGGCTGCACTCCCGAGCATAGCGAAATTTTTTAACTTAAGGTTTATAGAAAAAGAAACATCTGACTTCTTTATAAATGCTGTTAGAGATACGGTGCGGTACAGAAAAGAAAACAACGTGAGTCGCAAAGATTTCCTGCAAATTTTAATCGACAACCAAGAAGAAAATTCCACAGGAGACGGCAATTCGTTGACCCTGATGGAAATGGCGGCGCAGGCTTTTGTTTTCTTCATTGCAGGATTGGAGCCGACTATACCATTTGGAAATCTGGAAAATGCTTTTAATGCGAAAAAACTGCCGATATTTGAAAGAGCTAAGAACTGGTATAATTTCGGGAAAGAAAGGAAATGGAAGCACTTTGGGATGTACTTTGCAAAATCGCCAGTTTACTTAGTGTTGGATTTGGGGTTAATTAAAAACATCTTAACCACTGATTTCGAGTATTGGGTTGACAGAGGTATGTTTAAAACAATTAGATAATATTTTTCTACCATAACCATTTTAGGAACTCCGTATAATGAAAAAGCCGACCCTCTTAGCGCGCATTTAGTTAATTTGGGTGGAAGTAGATGGAAAAATCTTCGTAAAAAGTTGACACCAACTTTTACTTTGGGAAAACTTAAGCTTATGTTTAAAACCATTACGGATTGCGGCGTTCTTTTGGATCAAGTCATGGACGAAAAACTTAAAGATAAGCAATCCATTGATATTAAAAACATGTTCGAGAATTTCACGACAGATGTTATAGGTAAATATATTAATTTTATTGGTGTACTAAATCATCACCCAATAATTTCACAGGTTCGTGTGCATTTGGTTTGGAGTGCAACTCGTTTACGGAGGAATCAGAATTCAAGCGTTTCGGAAAAACCATATTAACTATCAATAGATTAACAATGATCAAATTTAACCTAAGAGCTGCACTCCCGAGCATAGCGAAATTTTTTAACTTAAGGTTTATAGAAAAAGAAACATCTGACTTCTTTATAAATGTCATTAAAGATACGGTGCGGTACAGAAAAGAAAACAACGTGAGTCGCAAAGATTTCCTGCAAATTTTAATCGACAACCAAGAAGAAAATTCCACAGGAGACGGCAATTCGTTGACCCTGATGGAAATGGCGGCGCAGGCTTTTGTTTTCTTCATTGCAGGATTTGAAACTTCTGCCACCACAATGACCTTCGCTCTATTCGAGATGAGTTTGAACCAGGATGTGCAGGAGCGGGTCAGGCAGGAAGTTAAGGAAGTTTTGGCCAGGCACAATGGAGAGATCAACTATGATTCCATAATGGAGATGAAGTACATGGAGCAAGTCATACAAGGTGAAATATGCAAAGTTGTACTCTCTATCAAGAAAATATGGTTATAAAACTTGTTTTTAGAGACGCTAAGGAAGTATCTCCCGGTACCTGAAATTACAAGAAAGTGCATACAAGACTACAAATTACCTGACATCGATTTGGTCATAGAAAAAGGCTTTTATACCAATCGTTGGCATTCACTACGATGAGGACCACTTCCCAAATCCAGAAAAATTCGATCCCGATAGATTCAGCGATAAGAACAAACACAATATAAAACCGTTTTCACATTTGGCATTCGGTGGTGGAAGAAGAGAATGCATTGGTATACCATTTAACAATGACATAATGAAAAATACTTATTCAATATTTTTTCAGGTGAAAGATTTGGGGTTATGCAATCGAAGGTTGGACTTGCTACTCTATTAAAGAAATACAAATTTACTTTAAGTGTAAAAACTCAAATGCCTTTAAAAATGGATCCTAGCCAGTTTATAACCAAAGCAGTTGGAGACATTTGGCTTGACTATAAAAAACTATGATAACGTGTTAATCAGTTTAGATTATAACTAGAGAACTTGAAAATTAAATTAAAATGTATAATTACTTTTTTTTGTTTTAAAATACACTCGAGGTGTACACCACTCTAAAATCAGCGAGACAAAGTTCAGCGTTATATTGACCATGGACCGATAATGATCTCATCCTTATTGATAAGAAATTTCTCTTAGCAACAGGTTGCTTAAGGCTTCTCTTGTGATTTTAAACCTTAGCTGTTAATTCTCTCCACTTTTTAAAAAATTGCACCATTAGAAGGTTATTAGCAAAATAGGCTAAAATCTGTTAAAATAGGGAAAAAAAATTAAAGCACTTGGGCTGGTACACATAAAATCCACTTTATTTGTAAGGGATGTGGAATACGTAAAAAATGTCATGGAGTTTAATTTTGAAGTACGTTTAGCTGATACTTTTACTACCTTCGTATTTCAATGAAAATCAACAAAATTCATTTTTGTTTACCGCAGTTTGACTAAGCCTTTTAGCTACTCTCTTAAAAGGAATTGGTCAAAAATACCTAATTACCTATGTCATACTTAACTAATTGTCATAGCGAAAAAGCATTTACTAATAATTAAAATTAGTTAAATTGTACTGAATGAAATAGTCAAATTAGTAGATTTATATTAAAAAAAAGTATTGACCCAGCCAGGGTTTGAACTCAGGTCTGTCTCTTGTCAAGCGGATGTCAAACCGGTGCTCTACTGTCACTTTTATAAAAATTAGTTTTTTTTTGTATATAAATATTGTTATTAATATTTTAAAGCTACATATCTTTTTTGTGTTACTGTTTTGGGCTAAACTTTTTACATTTTTGTTTGTTTTTAAGGGCCATTTAACCATGGAGCCTAATGCACATTTGTTGTTGGCCGCAAGAATTAAAAATGATTAAAGAAATGTGTCACTTTTTACTTTCAGAAACATTAATTAGAAAAATAACTATTTAAAAGTTAAAGTTAAAGTTTACACCAAGACGCAGAAGCGGATCAGATAGGAAGTTAAGAAAGGCACAATGAAGAAATTAACTATGATTCTATAGTTAAGAAAGTATCCGCCATTTGCAGCAGTTACAATAATAAATTGGTTACAGAAAAAAGCACTTATTACACAGTAAAATAAATTTCCCGTGTAAATTTTTTAGTGTATGGGTAAAAATATTAGAGTTGATTTGTAAGTGTAAAAGTTACACTACAAAATACACTAGGTGGCATTTAGTGCTTATTAACTTTATTAAACACATTTAAAGAATATGAACATTATTCATTGGTACATTCACACTATTTATCATTAAAATAAATCAAAAGGGTAGAAAAACTTAATGCTAGTGTTTATTACCCCTTAATGTGTTTAATAGTGATAAAATGTACACCACAGTGCATGCCAATTTCTTCTGTCTGTTTTGATGTTACTAAGAGCTCTTTTTTCTTTACACTACTAGTGCACATTGTATCGCAATTAAAGTTAAATTACACCAATAGTGGCAAAATAGACTGAAAAAATGTTTGGTTGGTACCTATCTACCTACGCAGTGCATATCCGGAGATACTGCGTTGTGGAAGTGTGGCATTTTTGTTCAGTTAGATTTTAATTACGGTGAATCCATCAGGGACATTCTTATTTTTTGGTAAGTATTATACTTCCTTTTTCTTTAAGCCTTAATACTCAATAAATACCAATATGTTAAAAGGATGTCCATACCCGACCTATATTATATATCTATAATTTATGGCAGTAGGTCGGGTACTTGTGAAATTAATAATATTAATACATACACACTTAATTTACTTTTTATTTTCAAGCGTAATGGTTGTTAAATTAACCTATTCCTACATTTTTATTAATATTATGGAAAATTTGTACACGTGTGGTAAATCCCCGACATACAGCCGCCTGACGCCTCTCTACCAATGGGATCACCCATTTTTTATAACAGAAAAATGAATTACTGATGAATTCTCAAGATAATTCATTGCTTACAAGTTGACAGCCAGTAAAACATTGCATTGATTTAAAACTTTTACGTTTTAAGGAACCATTTTGCTTAAGCCAGCCATACGACTCAAATATAAAATTATATTTTAAAAGGCACCGATTTTGATAATTGTTTGTTCCAAATAAATGTTTCTCTTTATTAACCTTTTCGTTTTATTCACTACGATCAATAGGTTTTACTTAAATAATAGTGTTAATTAGCACTAAAAGTTTGTACTAAAAGATTAAAAGTATTTTTCCAAAGAAGTGTTAATTTACACTGAACAAAAGTGGGATTTTACCCAGGAAGTGTAGAAGTTCACGATTTTAGGTAAATTAACACTTTTTAATACAGTGTAAAATTACTTTATCCTCAGTGCTATAGTGTTAAATCATATTTGCTTACTTGGGGAAAATTACACTAAAAATTAACTCTAATTGTAGTGTTATAAAACAACACTATTTAGTGTGGGCCTGTGTGAACTCTGTGTTGCGTAGAGTTGATTTTTTTTTACTGTGTATGAAAAATTTAAATGAAATTTTTTTAGGCGAGAGATTTTAAATTATGCAATATAAGGTGTGAATTGCCAGCCTCTTAATAAAATACAAACCATAAAAAAATTAAAACATTTTAACTTAGATAAGTTTTGTTAACTAGATAATAAATACTTATCTATTCAATTTTATAGTTTTTAATTAACATTTGGTTTAAAACTATTTGACCATGTTAGTAAAAAAGATTCTAAAACAGGTTATCAAGGTTATTACATGAAATGTGATATATCATACTATAAAAGTATAATTATAACTATATAGTTATATGTATTTGTAGTGAAATAAGATAAAACGATAAAAAGATACAAAGTAGGAGTACTAAAATGGCTTTTTTAGTAAGTGGTTCGTTTCTAGTGGACGCTGTAGGTGTAGTGGTGGCCTTATTGGCAATATTATATACGTCGTTTAAATGGAGCTTTGGATATTGGAAAAGGAAAAATTTTCCTTACATGGAGCCATCTATACCATTTGGAAATCTGGAAAATGCTTTGTTACCGAAAAAAGTACCGCTTTTTGAAAGTACTAAGAAATGGTATAATTTTGGGAAAGAAAGAAAATTGAAGCACTTTGGGTTGTTCTTTGCAACATCCCCAGTTTATTTTGTGTTGGATTTGGGCTTAATTAAAAACATCCTAGTCACTGATTTCGAGTATTGGGTTGACAGAGGTATGTTTAAAACAATTAGATAATATTTTTCTACTAAAACCATTTTAGGAAATCCGTATAATGAAAAATCCGACCCTCTTAGCGCGCATTTAGTTCATTTGGGGGGAAGCAGGTGGAAAAATCTTCGTAAAAAATTGACACCCACTTTTACTTCAGGAAAACTAAAGGTAATGTTTAAAACCATTACGGATTGCGGCGTTTTTTTGGAAAAAGCCATGGATGAAAAACTTATAGATAAGCAATCCGTTGGTATTAAAAACATGTTGGGAAATTTCACGACAGATGTTATAGGTAAATATATTAATTTTATTGTTTACTAAATCATCACCCAATAATATCACAGGTTCGTGTGCATTCGGTTTGGAGTGCAACTCGTTTTCTGGGGACTCAGACTTCAGGCGTTTCGGGAAAAAAATTTTCAGTAACATAAAATTAAGAAAGATCAAAATAAATCTAATGAGAGCATTCCCAAGGATAGCTAATTTTTTTAACATGAGAATTATGGAACAAGAAACAACTGACTTTTTTATAAACGTCGTTAAAGATACGATGCGGTACAGAAAAGAAAACAACGTAAGTCGCAAAGATTTCTTGCAAATTTTAATCGACAATCAAGCAGAAAATTTCGCAGGAGACGGCAATTCGTTGACCCTGATGGAAATGGCGGCGCAGGCTTTTGTTTTCTTCATTGCAGGATTTGAAACTTCTGCCACCACAATGACCTTCGCTTTATTCGAGATGAGTTTGAACCAGGACGTGCAGGAGAGGGTCAGGCAGGAAGTTAAGGAAGTTTTGGCCAGGCACAATGGAGAGATCAACTATGATTCCATAATGGAGATGAAGTACATGGAGCAAGTCATACAAGGTGAGATATGCAAAATTGTACTCTCTATCAAGAAAATGTGGTTATAAAAATTGTTTTTAGAGACGCTAAGGAAGTATCCCCCAGTACCTGAAATTACAAGAAAGTGCATACAAGACTACAAATTACCTGACAGCGATTTGGTCATAGAAAAAGGTACTCTAGCTATTATACCAATCGTTGGCATTCACTACGATGAGGACCACTTCCCAAATCCAGAAAAATTCGATACCGATAGATTCAGCGATAAGAACAAACACAATATAAAACCGTTTTCACATTTGGCATTCGGTGGTGGAAGAAGAGAATGCATTGGTATACCATTTAACAATGACATAATGAAAAATACTCATTCAATATTTTTTCAGGTGAAAGATTTGGGGTTATGCAATCGAAGGTTGGACTTGCTACTCTATTAAAGAAATACAAATTTACTTTAAGTGAAAAAACTCAAATGCCTTTAAAAATGGATCCTAGCCAGTTTATAACCACAGCAGTTGGAGGCATTTGGCTTGACTATAAAAAACTATGATAACGTGTTAATCAGTTTAGATTATAACTAGAGAACTTGAAAACTAAATTAAAATGTATAATTACTAATTAAGTTATTAATTTTTTATTAAAACACAATCGAAGTGTACACCACTCTAAAATCAGCGAGACAAAGTTGAGCGTTATATGGACCATGGACCGATAATGATCTCACCCTTATTGATAAGAATTTTCTCTTAGCAACAGGTTGCTTAAGGCTTCCCTTGTGATTTTAAACCTTAGCTGTTAATTCTCTCCACTTTGCAAAAAAAATTGCACCATTAGAAGGTTATTAGCAAAATATGCTAAAATCTGTAAAAATAGGGGGAAAAATTAAAGCAGTTGGGCTGGTATACCAGCTGGTATACCAGCTGGTGTACCAGCCCAACTGCTTTAATTTTTTTTCCTATTTTTACAGATTTTAGCATATTTTGCTAATAAAGTTTATTTGTAAGGGATATGGAATACGTAAAAAATGTCATGGAGTTTAATTTTGAAGTACGTTTAGCTAATACTTTTACTACCTTAGTATTACAATGAAAATTATTTTTTTTGTTTACCCCAGTTTGACTAAGCCTTTTAGCTACTCTCTTAAAATGAATTGTTCAAAAATACCTAATTACCTATATATTAGAGTAGATTTGTAAGTGTAAAAGCTACACTACAAAATACACTAGGTGGCATTTAGTGCTTATTAACTTTATTAAACACATTTAAAGAATATGAACATTATTCATTGGTACATTCACACTATTTATCATTAAAATAAATCAAAAGGGTAGAAAAACTTAATGCGAGTGTTTATTACCCCTTAATGTGTTTAATAGTGACAAAATGTACACCACAGTGCATGCCAATTTCTTCTGTCTGTTTTGATGTTACTAAGAGCTCTTTTTTCTTTACACTACTAGTGCACATTGTATCGCAATTAAAGTTAAATTACACCAATAGTGGCAAAATAGACTGAAAAAACTGGTAATAACCGAAAGGCGTTTTAAAATGTTTGGTTGGTACCTATCTACCTACGCAGTGCATATCCATCAGGTGACATTCTTATTTTTTTTAAGTATTATACTTCCTTTTTCTTTATTACTCAATAAATACCAATTTGTTAAAAAGATGTCCATACCCGACCTATATTATATATGAATAATTTACGGCAGTAGGTCGGGTACTTGTAAAATTAATAATATAAAAACATACACATTTAATTTACTTTTTATTTTCAAGAGTAATGCTTGTTATATTAACCTATACCTACATTTTTATTAATATTATGGAAAATTTGTACACGTGTGGTAAATCCCCGACATACAGCCGCCTGACGCCTACCAATGGGATCACCCATTTTTTATAACAGAAAAATGGATTACTGATGAATTCTCAAGATAATTCATTGCTTACAAGTTGAAAGTCAGTAAAACATTGCATTGATCTAAAACTTTTACGTTTTAAGGAACCATTTTGCTTAAGCCAGCCATACGACTTAAATATAAAATTATATTTTAAAAGGCACCGATTTTGATAATTGTCATTGATTTTTGTTCCAAATAAATGTTTCCCTTTATTTACCTTTTCGTTTTATTCACTACCACCAATAGGTTTTACTCAAATAATAGTGTTAATTTACACTAGAAGTTTGCACTAAAAGAGAAAAATACCTTTCTGATATTGGAACTTTTCCAAAGAAGTGTTAATTTACACTGAACAAAAGTGGGATTTTACCCAGGAAGTGTAGAAGTTCACGATTTTAGGTAAATCAACACTTTTTAATACAGTGTAAAATTACTTTATCCTCAGTGCTATAGTGTTAAATCATACTTGCTTACTTGGAGAAAATTACACTACAAATTAACTCTAATTGTAGTGTTATAAAACAACACTATTTAGTGTGGACCTGTGTGAACTCTGTGTTGCGTAGAGTTGATTTTTTTTACTGTGTATGAAAAATTTAAATTCAATTTTTTTAGGCGAGAGATTTTAAATTATGCAATGTAAGGTGTGAATTGCCAGCCTCTTAATAAAATACAAACCATAAAAAAATTAAAACATTTTAACTTAGATAAGTTTTGTTAACTTGATAATAAATACTTATCTATTCAATTTTATAGTTTTTAATTAAAATTTGGTTTAAAACTATTTGACCATATAAAAATATAATAAAATACTTAAAAAACACCAACTTATTGTTAGTGAAAAAGATTCTAAAACAGGTTATCAAGGTTATTACATGAAACATATGTGATATATCATACTATAAAAGTATAATTATAACTATATAGTTATATGTATTTGTAGTGAAATAAGATAAAACGATAAAAAGATAAGAGCCATGATCTAAAAATGATAAGTGCATTTTATATATATATATATATATGATTATAAAAAATCATATAACTGTTTTGATACAAAATAGGAGTACTAAAATGGCTTTTTTAGTAAGTGGTTCGTTTCTAGTGGACGCTGTAGGTGTAGTGGTGGCCTTATTGGCAATATTATATACGTCGTTTAAATGGAGCTTTGGATATTGGAAAAGGAAAAATTTTCCTTACATGGAGCCATCTATACCATTTGGAAATCTGGAAAATGCTTTGTTACCGAAAAAAGTACCGCTTTTTGAAAATACTCAGAACTGGTATAATTATGGAAAAGAAAGAAAATTGAAGCACTTTGGGTTGTTCTTTGCAACATCCCCAGTTTATTTTGTGTTGGATTTGGGCTTAATTAAAAACATCCTAGTCACTGATTTCGAGTATTGGGTTGACAGAGGTATGTTTAAAACAATTAGATAATATTTTTCTACTAAAACCCTTTTAGGAAATATGTATAATGAAAAATCTGACCCTCTTAGCGCGCATTTAGTTAATTTGGGTGGAAGCAGGTGGAAAAATCTTCGTAAAAAATTGACACCCACTTTTACTTCGGGAAAACTAAAGCTAATGTTTAAAACCATTACGGATTGCAGCGTTTTTTTGGAAAAAGCCATGGATGAAAAACTTAAAGATAAGCAATCCGTTGATATTAAAAACATGTTGGGGAATTTCACAACGGATGTTATAGGTAAATATATTAATTTTATTGTTTACTAAATCACCACCCAATAATTTCACAGGTTCGTGTGCATTTGGTTTGGAGTGCAACTCGTTTTCTGGGGACTCAGACTTCCGGCGTTTCGGAAAAAAAATTTTCAGTAACATAAAATTAAGAATGATCAAAATAAACCTAATGGCAGCATTCCCAAGGATAGCTAATTTTTTTAACATGAAAATTATGGAACAAGAAACAACTGACTTTTTTATAAATGCCGTTAAAGATACGATGCGGTACAGAAAAGAAAACAACGTGAGTCGCAAAGATTTCCTGCAAATTTTAATCGACAATCAAGCTGAAAATTCCGCAGGAGACGGCAATTCGTTGACCTTTATGGAAATTGCGGCGCAGGCTTTTGTTTTCTTTATTGCCGGATATGAAACTTCGGCCACCACAATGACCTTCGCTCTATTCGAGATGAGTTTGAACCAGGACGTGCAGGAGCGGGTCAGGCAGGAAGTTAAAGAAGTTTTAGACAGGCACAATGGAGAGATCAACTACGATTCCATAATGGAGATGAAGTACATGGAGCAAGTCATGAAAGGTGAGATATGCAATACTGTACAGTCTCTCAAGAAAATAGTCTTATAAAACTTGTTTTTAGAGACGCTAAGGATGTTTTCTCCAGCAACTGTTTTCTCCAGAAAGTGCGTACAGGACTACAAAGTACCTGGCAGCGATTTAGTCATAGAAAAAGGTACTCTAGCTTTAATACCGGTCATTGGTATTCACTACGATGAAGACCACTTCCCGAATCCAGCAAAATTCGATCCCGATAGATTTAGCGATGAGAACATACACAATATAAAACCGTTTTCACATTTGGCATTCGGTGGTGGAAGAAGAGAATGCATTGGTATACCATTTAACAATGACATAATGGAAAATACTCATTTAATATTTTTTCAGGTGAAAGATTTGGAATTATGCAATCGAAGGTTGGACTTGCTACTCTATTAAAGAAATACAAATTTACTTTAAGTAAAAAAACTCAATTGCCTTTAAAAATGGATCCCAGCCAGTTTATAACCACAGCAGTTGGAGACATTTGGCTTGACTACGAAAAAATATGATCAAGTTTTTAATCAATTGAGATTATAAATAGATTAAGAAATAAATAAAAAATGTATAATTACTAATAAAGCTATTAATAAATAACTTTCATTTTAATTTTCTTTACGAATATTATCAAAAAAATATGGTGCAGCGCGGAAAAGTTTGCATTAATGTGATATACAAAAATTACTCAATATAGAGATTTGAACTTTTGCAAGTTAAAGTTGGTATTCCCAGCAAACACATAAGTCTGGGACTTTACAGAAATTTTTTAATAAAAATATTAATTTTTATAAAAGGCTGTCCTGTAATGGCCCTTTTTAAGCTAATATTTGTATATTTTACCATAAAAGTCCCATATATGGCAGTATGCTCAAGTACTTTAAAAAATAAATCCATATAACTTTTAACCACATAAACAGAAGAAATTTGTCTCGACTAAGGAAATTTTGTATTTAATAAGACAATATAAAATATTATATATTAAAAGTATTTTAAATAGGTTATTATGTTGGCATTTTAATTAGTTTTAAAACAAGGTGAAATTTAAATAAAATTTTTATTTTTTATGACAAGATAAGCAAATACTTAGAGGCCAACATATCATACAACCAGTCGTAAAATATGTCTCTTTTAACCCACTCTATAATACTAGACTTCTTTGTCATAATATCTGCCTTAATTCTAACATTATACGCAACATTTAAATGGCGATTTGGCTATTGGAATCGAAAAAGATTCCAACACCTGCAACCAACGTTTCCAATGGGAACATACGACCTAAGTAAATCTCTGATCGAGAACATGAAGATTTACTATAATTTTGGGAAGCAAATGGACTGGAAGCATTTTGGTGTGTATTCAACATGTCACCCCATATACTTTGTCAGAGATTTAGGCTACATTAAAAACATTCTGGCGACAGATTTTGAGTACTTTTGTGCCAGAGGAATTTATTTTAATGAGAACGATCCAATGAGCAATAATTTGTTTCATGCAGCAGGCTCAAAATGGAAGACGCTAAGAAAAAAACTGACACCTGTATTCACTTCTGAAAAACTCAAGTACATGTTTAAAACCTTGACTGATTGCGGAGTCATTCTAGACAATGAACTGGAAAAACAATTAAAAAACTATAAACCAATCTATGTAAAGGAATTAACAGCAAGTTACACCACTGATATCATAGGTTCTTGTGCGTTTGGTTTGGAGTGCCAGTCTTTCCATGGTGACACAGAGTTTCGGCACTATGGTAGGCAATTATTCACCACAAATCCATACATCATTCTCAGAAGGCATATTTCTAGCTTATCGCCAGGTCTGGCCAAGTTATTGGGTATAAATCTTCTACCGAAAAATGTAAGAAAGTACTTCTTTAAAATCGTTAAGGATACGTCTAGCTATAGAATTAAAAACAATGTATATCGCAGGGACATTCTTCAATATTTAATTGACAATGGCAGACTTGGTGACTTCGATATGGACGAGATTGTAGCACAGACGTTTGTTTTTTGGGCGGCAGGTTTCGAAACTTCTTCAAACGCAATGACATTTGCCCTGTACGAGTTAAGTCGTCATCCTGAGATTCAGGAAAAGGCTAGGCGGGAAATCGGGGAGGTTTTATCCAGGCACAACGGCGAGATCAACTACGAATCGGTTAGCGAGATGAAGTATGTGGAACAAATTATTTTTGAGGCTTTAAGAAAGTACCCCGTCCTACCAGCTTTGACGAGGGAATGTGTAAAAGATTACAAAGTGCCAGATTGCGATTTAATCATAGAAAAAGGTACCCAAGTTATAATCCCCGTATACGAAATTCACCACGATGAAGATTATTTCCCGGATGCTGATAAATTCGATCCGAGCAGATTCAGTGATGAAAACAAGCCCAATTTGGAACCGTTCTCGTTTATGGGTTTTGGGGGAGGACGAAGAGAATGCGTTGGTATAAAAATAAATATATAAACATTATAAAATTTGTATTTTACCTTTTTTAGGCGAAAGATTTGGTATAATGCAATCCAAAGTGGGTTTGATAACTCTACTGAAAAAATTTAGATTCACTTTGAACTCCAAAACAGAAATACCGATTAGGATGAATCCAAATACATTTATAAATGCTTTGGACAGTGAATTGTGGCTGGACTATGAAAAAATTAAATAGGAAAGTTTTTATCTTGTACATACATCAACTTTATATTAAAATTACTTAAATTAAATGTAAACTCTGTTTTTATTGTATATTGTAAGTTCAAGTGAGGGGCGATAAGTAATTTAACCAAATTTTTGAGTACTAATTATTGTTATCTACTCGTATATGTACGAAAATATAAATAAAAATACATTAGGAATCAGAATTCAATCGTTTCGGAAAAAAAAATTTCAGTAACCTAAAATTAAGAATGATCAAAATAAATCTAATGATAGCATTCCCAAGGATAGCTAATTTTTTTAACATGAGAATTATGGAACAAGAAACAACTGACTTTTTTATAAATGTTGTTAAAGATACGGTGCGTTACAGAAAAGAAAACAACGTGAGTCGCAAAGATTTCCTGCAAATTTTAATCAACAATCAAGCAGAAAACTCCGCAGGAGACGGCAATTCGTTGACCTTTATGGAAATTGCGGCTCAGGCTTTTGTTTTCTATATTGCAGGATAATAAACTTCGGCCACCACAATGACCTTCGCTCTATTCGAGATGAGTTTGAACCAGGAAGTGCAGGAGCGGGTCAGGCAGGAAGTTAAGGAAGTTTTGGCCAGGCAAAATGGAGAGATCAACTATGATTCCATAATGGAGATGAAGTACATGGAGCAAGTCATACGAGGTGAGATATGCAATCTTGTACAGTCTATCAAGAAAATGTACTTTAAAAACTTGTTTTTAGAGGCACTAAGAATGTATTCCCCGGCATCTGTACTAAAAAGAAGGTGCATAAAAGACTACAAAGTACCTGGGAGCGATTTAGTCATAGAAAAAGGTACTCTAGCTATAATACCGGTCGTTGGTATTCACTACGATGAAGACCACTTCCCGAATCCAGAAAAATTCGATCCTGAAAGATTTAGCGATAAGAACATACACAATATAAAACCGTTTTCACATTTGGCATTCGGTGGTGGAAGAAGAGAATGCATTGGTATACCATTTAACAATGACCTAATGGAAAATACTCATTTAATATTTTTTCAGGTGAAAGATTTGGAATTATGCAATCGAAGGTTGGACTTGCTACTTTATTAAAGAAATACAAATTTACTTTAAGTGAAAAAACTCAAATGCCTTTAAAAATGGATCCCAGCCAGTTTTTAACCACAGCAGTTGGAGACATTTGGCTTGACTACGAAAAAATATAATCACGTTTTTAGTCAGTTTAGGTTATAAAAAGATTAAGAAATTTATTAAAAATGTATAATTACTAATAAAGCTAATAATAAATTATTTTTCTTCATTCCTTTCGCAACTTATTTGGTCCTCAAAAATATGGTGCAGCACAGAAAAAAAAACAACGTAACCCGCAAATATGTTTTATAACTTTTTATTGACAACCAAGAGGAAGATTCTACAAAAGAAGGAAATTCACATTCACACAGAGTTTCGGCACTATGGTAGACAATTATTCACCGCAAATCCATACATCATTCTCAGAAGGCATATTTCTAGCTTATCGCCAGGTCTTGCCAAGTTGTTGAGAATTAAAAACAACGTATATCGCAGGGACATTCTTCAATATTTAATTGACAATGGCAGACGGTAACTTTGATATGGACGAGATTGTAGCACAGACGTTTGTTTTTTGGGCGGCAGGTTTCGAAACTTCTTCAAACGCAATGACATTTGCCCTGTACGAGTTAAGTCGTCATCCTGACATTCAGGAAAAGGCTAGGCGGGAAATTGGGGAGGTTTTATCCAGGCACAACGGCGAGATCAACTACGAATCGGTTAGCGAGATGAAGTATGTGGAACAAATTATTTTTGAGGCTTTAAGAAAGTACCCCGTCCTACCAGCTTTGACGAGAGAATGTGTAAAGGATTACAAAGTACCAGGTTGCGATTTAATCATAGAAAAAGGCACCCAAGTTATAATCCCCGTATACGAAATTCACCACGATGAAGATTATTTCCCGGATGCTGATAAATTCGATCCGAGCAGATTCAGTGATGAAAACAAGCCCAATTTGGAACCGTTCTCGTTTATGGGTTTTGGGGGAGGGCGAAGAGAATGCGTTGGTATAAAAATAAATATAAAAACAATATAAAATTTGTATTTTACCTTTTTTAGGCGAAAGATTTGGTATAATGCAATCCAAAGTGGGTTTGATAACTCTACTGAAAAAATATAGATTTACTTTGAACTCCAAAACAGAAATACCGATTAGGTTGAATCCAGATACATTTATAAATGCTTTGGACAGTGAATTGTGGCTGGACTATGAAAAAATTGAATAGAAAAGTTTTTATCTTGTACATACATCAACTTTATATGAAAATTCCTTAAATTAAATGCAAACTATGTTTTTATTGTATATTGTAAGTTCAAGTGAGGGGCGATAAGTAATTTAACCAAATTTGTGTGTACTAATTGTTGCTATCTACTTGTATATGTACGAGAATTATAAATTTTAATTGTTTATGAGCAAATAACAGTTACAAATAAAAATACATTATACGAATATTCATTGGGTTTTTAAATATTTATTAATTAAGGAGGTTTTGTTTAAAAATATTTAGTTTTACCAGACAATTCATTATTTGTGTTTTTTAAATATTACATATTAAATGAAACCTTGACAATAGACTTTATTTTATTTAGACTAACAGACTGAGATAATATTAAAATTTAAAATGTAATTTATTTATGCATTTAAAGCAAAAGAAAACAAACTGCATCGCAACAGGATTCATGTTTCAGTAAAAAGGCAACATATGGCTTGCCTATGAAAAAATATGCACATACATGTTTAAAACATGTAAAATAAATGCATGAAACTCATTATTATTTGTAAAGCAATGTCATATCACATAAAATATTTGATTAAAAATCGTGTAAAAAGAACATATGTTATCACTTTTTAACACTAATCCCTTTATAATCCCCACCGTTTCGACGCGTCGCGACGTTTTGTTTTTATAACTTTTTTCTTTTAAATTTCTCCCAGTCAAATTATAATAATTATATAATTATAAGCACTATTACTATCTAAATTCTAGAAGTGTTATAACTAGTTTGAGTTTTTTAAAATTACACGGAGAGAAATGTATAGTAAATTTTAGAAAAAAATAGTAAAATTTACTTTAACAAATTTTTAGGGTAATAATATTATATACTCGTCAATACAATATTAAGATTGTAATACAAAATACTATTTTTTATTATACAATTTTAGTAAAGATTACAACAACAATATTACTAAATCATAAATGTATAATATATATTTTAATTTTTAATATGTTCGTATAGTACATTGATTTTACTATATATAAATAGTAATATTCACTATATGATTTAATCAAATGTAAGGTGTACATCTAATATTATAATATATTACACAATAATAAAAAATATAGTAAAAATAAAGATACTTTTATGTTTAAGGTAAATAAACAATATATTTAAATATAATATACAATATAGTAACTCATGACATTTTAAACATTCAATTTTCTTAGTTTCTTCAATAAACTATCTTGACCCATTACTGGTAATATTTATAAGAAAGAATTGAACCTACTTGGTTGCATAGTATGTACCGATTGCGGCAAAGGCCACGTCGCGACGAGTCGTTAGACGGTGTGGATCACGTGATGTTCTTACATCTCGCCTCTGTTGGCTTACCAACCATGTTATATAAGCTCAGGTATTACTTTGTTTTGGGTGTGTTCCACTACTACAAGTTGCTCGACAGTGTCGTGTCGACACTGATGATACCCAATATAGGTCAAAACACCTGTCTGTCGGTATTTGTAGTTGATGGAACGCACTCAAAATCAAAAACTTGGCGAGGTGTAGGTTCAATTCTTTCTCATAACATTTTTGTATATTAAAAAGTACAATAAATATGTTACAATTTTTAATTGTTAACATATAAAAATATTCGATTTTAAAATATTTTATATTTAAAATGGCAACATAATATTTTAAAATTTACTATACTTATTAGTAATGGAAAAAATCTAATTATAATAAGAATTAAAAACAAAATTGGTTGAGAATAATAATATTTTACCTTAAGGTTTAACATACATGAATATTTAAAAATTACTAAATATGCATAGTATTTGGCAATATACAAGATAGTTGTCCCAAATAGTAATATAAATTATAGTAAAAGGTATTATAATTATGGTAATTAGCATTATACTTTTCTCTCCGTGTAAAATACGTGCTCTGCGTACTCTGACGTACCTTTCAGAGATTTATTAGGTGAAGGAAACGCGGCTCAATAACAAAAAGAAATCCTATTATAATTGATATAAACACGTACGTGTAATTTGGGTCAAGAAGAATGACAGTTAATCCTTGAAAAACTCATCATGTTGCTCTAGTGAAAAAACTGTCTATAAAACAAAATAAAACGCAGAAAATGGCATTGTTCGCAGTTTCAGTATTATCGTTGTGTATTCTCGCAGATCAAAAGCGGCATTAAAGCCATTTCTTCATTTGAAATAGCAAATATTACAAAGAAATAAAACTTAACCCAGTCGACATATTGACATTGATAACATAATCTTTGGAAGCAAATATAAGTTTCAACAAAAAAGAAATTATTATTATTAAGGGCCATACTACCTAATATTCTGGGCAAAGTACGTATATTGAAAGCCTTGTATAATATAGATATATTATATGTTTTACTAAGTGATAAAAAATTTATTTCCTGTCAAATTTCATTTTTTATTGCACAGTAAACATTATAAAGAAAAAGGCATGCTTGACATCTTTATTTTATTATATAACTGCGAGTCCGTGTTCCATTTATCTTGCATTTTATTATGAATACACCGAAAAAAATAATGTAGTTAAGTTAACGTTTGCCTAAATGTCATTTTTGAAAAAGGTTGTTTCATCAAAAAACCTATTGGATTAATCTATATTTTGGTGTCAAAGCAATAGTCAGAGTTTGTCAAAGTTTATTTGTTCATTTGGCAGTTAAACATAAACTAATTTTTTGAATTAAAATGTTTATACTATTTTGATTTAATAGCTGGAATTGGTTGAATCAAATACTGAAATTTTTAGGATTACCTAAAAAAACAATTAAATTAACGTTTAGTTGCTTTTTAAATCCAAAACATTAAATTTTTTCATTTAACAAATTGTAAATGTTACTAATTTTTGTTGTTCAATTAAACAATACAATTTGACATTTTTAGATGGTTAAGTAAACGTGCGAAAACCATTGCTTGTATTTTAAGTGCATAAAGAGTTGAATTAATATTTTTGTTGTTGTTTCAACAGCTTATTTTTTTCAGTGTAGCAAAATACCACCCAAGTAACGTGCGAACTTTTTTGTCCTATATTGGACCCAAAATAAAGTAGTTCAATATTATTACCGACTGAAATATTTATAACAATTATTGTATACAGCGTCATCTAATGATTTGACTTTAAGGTAACTATTTAAAGAACTCTTATTTTTCTAGTATTAATGTTAATTGTCCAATAACTATAAAGTCTATAACTTTACCCTACCTATTTTATGCATTTTTCTATAGTTTGGTAATTATTGATGCACTTTTTTTGTATTATTAATATAAATATAAATGGATTTACCATTTAGTTTTGACAAAAGCTCTAGTGACACAAATTGTTTTTATAATAATTATTTCATACATTTTCCTTTTTCTTATAAATAGTACCTACACAGACCGAGTAAAAAAGATTTTCTATATCTGTATATATGTAATTATATAAAAAAAATGACCCGATATAATTATATAGAATTTTGAATAATTATGTTTAATTATGTATATGTATAAAACAAATTTTTTGTTTAAGAAATGTTTCATTTTTATTTATTAATAGTTACCTTATTCGTAGACATCGATAATAATTATTTTTTATAATAATTTTTATAAATTAATTTTTTAATATTAAGTATAACAAAAAATAAAAAAAAAATTAGATTTTTTTTGGAAAACTTTTCATTTGCTCATTTTTTGGGTACCCCATTTTGCCCCCCCTCTGCCTTGTTTTGCCCCCTTTCACCTCCTGTCTGCTACCATAAAATTAAAAAAACAGAAAATTTGATTTTATCAAACTTTGACCTTGAATAACTCTCGAAGAAATCAATTTATCGAAAAATAATAGGAGAGCTTTTTTGTAGAGCGTTACATTTTATATAGGAAACTGCAATGATCATTGTCATAAGTTACTCTGATACAGAGGTATAAAATTCCAAACATAAAATTATTTTTTCCCATGTTAATTAAATGGGAAACTAAAATAAAAACAGCGACCTCTTAGAGTTGAGCTGAGACCCCCATATTTGGTGAGGATTTTTTTTATATTAAATAAAAACATTTGAGAGGGTAAGAGCGAAAAAAAATTAAATTTTATTGTGTATTTTAAACTGTTTTACTTACTTTATTTTCGTATAGATGTCGTTTTATACAAATATTTAATTTAAATCATTTTTTAGATAGTATTTGTCGTAGAAAAAGTCATTTAATTAGGCACTCGCGTTTATCAAACTTGATACATAATATACTATAACAACGTTTTTTCTCTAACTTAGATAATTTAGAAACTTCTGCTTTAACAGACAGCTTTCCAATAGAAGAAAATGTATGTTATTTGTTTTACAAGTATGATAAGTTTCTGGCCACTCTCTGATTAATACAGCTTTCATTAAACTTAACAGGTGTAAATTTTAGTGGTAGATGCAAATTACTGATTGCATTAAATTTTAAGCTATGCGCACATGCATGCATGAATTTCTGGGATGAAAATAAACCACTTGAAAACCTTTTGTCTCTCAATTAATCAACTTAAATGTAGGTCTGAAATTCATGAGCTTAATTCGAAATTTTATTAAAACTTTTTGAAGCATTGTCAAGATTGTAATCTTTTAGGCGACGGTTTATTAAAGACTTATTAAAAACTTTTAAAAATAGTTTAATAATTTAAATACAAAAGTAAATAAGCGAGAATTTTATAAAAGTCACAGAAACAGTTGAAAATAAAATATTGAGGTTTAATACTAGACAGTGTTTATAATTTTTGTTAAGTTAAATAATATCAGATTTTCGATTCGATTCGATTAAACAGTAAAACACGATTTTCCTCCCAAGAAAAATTTTAACAGATTTTAAAAATAAAGGTTAAAAAACGTACAGATTTTTAATTTTCTATATTGCTATAAATCATTTTTTTTTCTTCTTTTTTACATAATACAAAAATTATACTTAAAGAAAATAACAATTTTATTTTTTTAAGTAAAAAAAATATTTCTGATTTTTAAGTTTTGTTTTTTTTTTAATAAAACAACATACCTATTTGTATTTATCTTATAT